TTCTTAATCTCTGGAACATTTAAATAAGCATATAAATATTTAAACAAATCTTAACCTCCCCATCTCTTGCCTGCTTTCATTACAACATAAAGAAATAGATCTGGATCCAGAGAGTACAGTGAGTAGAGCACTTGCCTTGACTGTGGCCAACCCAGATTTAATCCTTACTAGGTGTGAAAATAAATCTTCTGATGGGCATCATTTATAATCTCTATACATTTATCTCCACCACCTTAATTGCGCAGTTCTCAAGTTTTTTAGAGTGCTTTACACTGCCAAATCTGAAGGTCAATTCCTGTCTTATTCAACCTCAACAGCAAATGACACTCTTAAGCATTGATTTCTCCCTGAAAAATTTTCTCTACTTAGCTTTTAGAAATTCTCTATTGTGTGTCTCCTCCTACCTCTGGACATGATTAAATGTCCTTTGCTTGTCTTCTGCTTGCCACACCCAGCACTACTCAAACTTATTTCTGTCTCTCTGGCTCAGGGGAATCATGTGTGTTGCCAGAGTTTGAGTCAGCCACATACAAGTCAAGCTCCCTACGCATTCTTCTCTCTCTAGCCCTAGGTGTCTTATCTCAAAAAGGCCATAAGGACTGACTTTTAAATGTACTCATCAACTCTGCTTCAATTAATGTCTTGAGTCAGGGTTTCCAGTTATCTTCTAACTGTAGGAAAGTCTGCTCAGTTTGAAAAATCTATTTGGCACACAGAGATGATACATGGATCCATGCGTTGCATGTAGAAAGTTCGAAGTTTGATCCCTGGCACCAAATGGACACCTAAGCACAGATAGATGTACTCTGATCGCTTTAAGCTCTGCTGGATTCTAGGAGTGCTGCAATTCTGGGTCCTAATTCCTGGTTGGCCAAGTATTGATGGATGTGATCCTCCCCAAAATGTGTTGAACTGGCAGCTGAGGTTTTACAAAATGGAACTATATGGAAGAAGATAAAAATTACATTGAGAGAGAGGGAGGGTGTGAATTTGCTTCTTGAAATACGTATGTATTTGGTCAGTTTGTGCAGTGTATTTTTTCTTTTTTGTTTTTGGGTCATATCCAGCTGGGTTTATTCAGAGGTTTGAGCTCAGGAATCTCTCCTGGTGAAGCATGGGAGATTATATGGGATGCTGGAGATTGAATCCAGATCAGCCCCATGTAAGGCAAGTGCCTTACCCATCCGCTATCTCTTTGGCTCCTGTGAAGTATGTTTTGTACACTGGTTTAAGGTCAAAAAGTGTGAAATTTACATCTCTGATCTCATTCAATCCTGTGACTTTAAATACTACAGGTCAATTTAGGCCTCTTGTTAAAGATAAATCAACAGAAATTAGATAGAAAAAATGATACTCCTAGCACACGCTAGGGGAAAAGGCAGCTCAGATAGAGAAGGGAGCACCAAATAAAGGGTGTTGGGAGGTTCCTCTCCGGATGGGAGATGCGTGCTGAGAGTAGACTATAGACCGAACAAGATTGCCACTCAATATCTCTTTTGCAAACCACAGTACTCAAAAGGAAAGAGAGAGCAAAAGGGAATGCCCTGCCACAGAGGTAGGGTGGGATGGGGGGATGGGGGGAGATACTGGGACTGGTGGTGGTGGAGAATGAGCACTGGTGGAGGGATGCGTACTTGATCATTGTATAACTGAAACCCAAGCACAAACATTTGTAAGTCTGCAACTGTACCTCATGGTATTTCACTAATAAAAATTTAAGGAAAAAAAAGTAGAAACAGTAAAAAATGATGCTCCTAAAGATTCCCTTGGAAGTCTTCCTTGGGAAAAGAAAGGCACAGAAAGGCCCACGTCAAGGAAAACCAAAGGGAGTGAAGGCACCTCTTCATTGTTACTAGCCAAAAAAAAAGAAAAAGGTTTGGAATTTGGAAACAAATTCAAAACTGGCTGTACCAGACCATAGTTTTACATCTTAGTAGCTTAGTAGTTCAGGACTTCTTGTGATCCATTTCAACTGACAATGTTTTCTTGTTATTTTTCACAAAGCTGTTAAAGATTGGGTTTCAGTCATACAATGGTCCAACACCTATCCTTCCACCAGTGTCCATTTCCCACTACCACTCCCAGCCTGCCTCTTATGGCAGGCACTTTCCTTCTCAATATGTTTTTGTTGCTTGCAGTTAAATTCTGGTAAAAATAGAAAGGTTAGAGTCTAGATCTTCAGTGGAGAGTCACTTTGACTCTGGCTGGTGACACGACCGAGGCCTAAATTCCTTTTCCCCCCCTCCACATGCCCTAACACGGAGTTGATGCTTTCACTATGCACACTAAGGCAATGGGAAGGTTAATTTGGACTCCTTGTCACCACTAAGGGGAGTTGAAATTACTCCACTGCTACCCTGCTACAAGATCAGCACTTCCCTTGGAGTTAGCACTTGGTCACCCATGAATGATCACCTTACTGATGGTCTTTCATTCTAAATGAAGACTTTTTTTTCTCAACGAGGCTTGGTTCCCTTGATGGCAGTGTTAGCCTCAACTCTAGTCTGGGTGGCAAGGACATAGACACATCCGATTTGTCAGCTCCCTTTCCCTGAGGACTCTGACCTCCTCTTCTAGGTGTATGCTTAACATTTATTGAATACATATTTATTGGATACTTCAAAGTGCCATGTCAGCATGCTCACTACTAATTCCATGCTCATTACTAACAAGTCAATACATTTTTTCCTTTAGAGAAATGAAAACGTTAACTACAGCTAGGTAGTTACAGCTGAATCAGGATTCATGCTTGTATTGTCTCCATGACAACTGGCTAACTCACATAGCCCTCTAGATCTGGAAGGCTCTTTCCTACTACCGACAGAAGGCGGCTAGGAATCCATATCCCTACATCAGCCAACATGTTTTACTACCCAGGATATGTCTAGGTTTTAGCTACTGAACCCTTTGGAGCATAAGTATAAATGTGGGAATTGCAAACAAGTCGGAAACAGTGTAAGATTTTTGAAAGAATCACCACCAAAACTTTATTCAAAATCAACAACACACAATGAATCTAAAGAGTTTCTGTCAGTGCTTCTCTTGACTACATTTATTAGGTAACAAGAGGTGGGAAAAGTTTAAGCAGCTCTGGTCTAGGCATGGGATATATCAGTGGAAGATAATAGTCATATCTTTGTTCTTTATGGAACAGCTCCTGCCTGAAGCAATAGAAGTCAACCAGGTTGCGGTAGCTAACCTTGCAAACTGTTTTAAGATGGATATGTGAAATTTATCACTGTATGTTGTACTTTTAAAAAATGATGCATTCGGAGCTGGAGAAATAGCACAGCGGGTAGGGCATTTGCCTTGCAAGTGGCTGACCTGGGTTCGATTTGCAGCAACCCATATGGTCTCCTGAGCACCGCCAGGATTAACTCCTGAGTGCAGAGCCAGGAGTAACCCCTGTGCATCACCAGGTGTGACCCAAAAAGCAAAAAAAAAAAAGATGCATTCAAGTTTGTTACAAAAATAGGATATTTGATTGTGTGTGTGTGTGTGTGTGTGTGTGTGTGCGCGCGCGAGTGTGTTAGTGGTGGTGCTGTAAAGCATATACTACCCTAGACCTACATTCTTGGCCCTGGCCTTGTACTGAACTGAAGATATTTTGAATTCATTAATTTGACCCTGTCAGTTTGCTCTTAAGTATGCAAAGTGCTCATAATTGCATTGAATAATCAGAATATCCTGGAGTAGTCAATTGTCCAATAGATTAAAAAAAATAAAAACAACATTTGCTGGCCATTCTCATAATTTACTCATGAATTTACTATGAAGTAATATAGACTATTGTTTTTATGACAAACATTTATTTTTTGTTTGATTTGGACCACATTTGGCACTGCTCCTGACTTACTCCTGGCTCTGTGCTCAGGGATCACTCCTGGTGGGCTAAGAGGACCATGATGGGGTGCCCTACACCCTGTACTATTGCTCTGACACCTATAATGAACAATTTTGGAGAAACTGGTAATGCCGAAAGCTCCACTTCTGCAAAGTCACTGCCACTGTCACTCTCTTCCTGTTGTTCATCGATTTGCTCGAGCGGGCCCAGTAACGTCTCCATTGGAGACTTTGTTGTTACTGTGTCTGGCGAAGGGGAGCTTGCCAGGCTCTGCCCTGCCGGCGAGATACTCTCGGTAGCTCGGGCTCTCTGAGAGGGGCGGAGGAATCGAACTCGGGTCTGCCATGTTGGCCGCGTGCAAGGCAAACGCCCTACCCGCTGTGCTATGGCTGGAGCATACCGCCAACCAAATAATCTCCTTCTCCTGCCCAAACACTAACAAGCGGTCAGGCCCGGGGTGGGGGTGGGGGGTGGGGTTCCCTGAAGGACAACGCTAGGGTGGGTGGGAGTCTCCGATCTTGGCAGGGGGGGCCCTGAAGCCTCGAACCTTCCCCGCGGCCGAAGCACGAAGGTGCGCCGGGAGCGCTGCCCACCCACCAGCCAGCAGCCCCGCCGCCGCCTCCTCCGCCAGCTGCGGCTGCCGCGTCGCTAGGCAACGGCTCCGCCCACCCTCGAGGCGAGCACGTGACGCGCGCGTCACGTGACAGCCCAGTTGGCGTTCTCGGGCAGGGCACAGTGGGCAGGCCCGGCGGCGGCCGAGCTGTGGACCTGCCGCGTCCGCGTCTCAGGCATGCTCGGGGCAGGCCGGGGCGGCCCAGCCGCTAGCCCCGCGCCCACCTGAGGTAACTCGCGCTGCCGGGGGACGGGCGGACCCCACGCCGCGCTCAGCAGCCGCTGCCTTCGGCCGCGGGACCCGGCGGCCCAGCCGGGGCCACGGCGGGGGTGTGGCTGCTGGCGGCGAGCTCCGCGACAGGTGGGCCGGTGCGTCATCCGGGGTCTGGGGACCGGCGCGGGCCCGGCTGAGCGGCGACGGCGGGATCGGGCCGTGGGCTCGAGGCTGCCTCTCGGGCCGAGCCGGACACCACAGAGCGGGCGCGGAGGCCCCGGGTCGCGTCGCGTGAGTCAGTGCCAGGCCGCGCCGGGAGACGCGGGGAAAGTCCGCCCTGGACCTCGATCCCGCCCCGAGCGCGCGCCGCGTCGATGAGGAGCCTGGGCCGGGGGCTGCGCCAGCACCGTCCCCTTCTGGCGTGTGCGATCGCGAGGGAGACCGCGTGTATTGGACGCTGCCACGGGGAAAGCGGAGGTAGATATTCCCCCTTCCCCTCCCCCCGCGACCCCCCTTTTAATTGCTACTCCCCCCCCCCCCCGAAGTCTGTCATCGACTCCGCACGATTTGGGTTGTTGTTCACCTGGGTCGAGTTTCCAGTGAAAAGGAATTGCAAGAAGTCATCACGGGTGTAGATTCTGCTTCCTGCAGGCAGTCCACCCCAACTCCCCCCCCCCCCCCGCCCCCCTTAATATAGCGGAACCTTTCTTCTTTGGCCAACGTGTAAGAGAAACTTGGATCTGTGTCACATTCTCCCCACTACCCTCATCCCCTTTGACCCCCTCCGGGCCCCCTCTTCCCCCCAAGAAGTCTCTGCTTTATTTATTTATTTATTTATCTTTGGCTTTTGGGGTCACACCTGGCGATGCACAGGGGTTACTCCTGGCTCTGCACTCAGGAATTACTCCTGGAGGTGCTCAGGGGGGACCATATGGGATGCTGGGAATCGAACCCGAGTCGGCCGCGTGCAAGGCAAATGCCCTACCCGCTGTGCTCCAGCCCAAGAGGTCTTTCCTTTAGAAACTCTGTTTCAGAATTGAGGACTTTTGATGGGATATGGAAGTTGAATCCTTTCTGTGTGCTCTCTTTTTCTTTGATTGTTGTTCAAATGTATGTCATGCAGCTGGAGAGACAGTATGTGCTTCATAATAGGAAAGGCCAGGAATAAAGAACTTTCTCGTCATCTTTTCTTGCATTCCGTTCCCGGGAGAAGTTGGAGCATAGTTTTTTTTTTTTTTTCTTTTTGCTCTTGACATGGTTTGGTTGCTTAGGCACAAAATGGGAGTGGCAGATTCCTTTTTAAAACTAAACTTTTATGAGAGCTAATGAAAGGATTAGGATGATTTCTCTGAAAACATGAAAAATGGAACTAAGCTCTTCAGAGTTATGAAATATGGTGGACATATTCTAAATTTTGAGACCCTGAAGCAAGGCAATTTTGTATTTTCAGAGAACTGGGTCTAGAAGAAAATGTGGCCCTCTTTTCCTATAGTGAATGAACATCAGTGTTAGGGCATGTGTGTAGATCCTCCAAAAAAGTTTTCAGGGATTTTTTTTGGGGGGGGGAAGTTAATAAAAAATAGTTTCCTAATTTATTTTTGGAAACTAGAGTTGAAACTGACTCTAGTCAGTTTCTGAAACTATAAAGCAAGTTTGATAGTAAAAGAGGAAGCCGATAGCCTTTAACTGCATCTGCGTTGCTGCTTCTGGATGGTAAGCCAAAGTGGGCATCAACTGGATGGTGAATAGAACCCAAGGTACCTGGTAAAGTACCTTTTTCATTGTAAAGTAGACTCTCTTGTTGGCTCTTTAAATTTAGCAAGTCACTTACCTTGTTGTTGTCAGTTTCTGTTACCTAGTGAGGAAACTGATTACTGTACCTTTCTACTTTTTTTCTTGGTTGAGGACAGGCATTTTTATTTCTTTTCTGTTGTTTTGGCCACAGTCAGCGGTGCTTCAGGTCTTACTCCTGGCTTTACACTCAGGGATCACTCTTGGTGGGCTCAGGGATTCTATGGAGGGGCTGGAAATTTAACCCAGGTTGACCTTGTGCAAAGCGAATGCCCACATATTCTCTGTACTATCCTCTATGGCGTAATTATCATTTTTCATTCTACGTTTTGAGATGCTGCACCACCCTTTAGCATGTTTTAGGGTTGCCAGAAAAAATATAGACTACCGGTTTTGAATTTCACTGAATCACTTAATCACTTAAATACTGAATAAATTTTTAATATAAATATTGCATAGGCCATGCCTATATTTAGAACTTTTGCTTCTCTAATAGCCCTTTGAAAAATTTATGAAATGCTACACATACAAAACTACGAGATCTGCATCTACGAAATTCAAAAATAGAATATTACCTACGCCATTGAAACCTGAGTGCCTCATCCTGACTGCTCTCTGACTCCCTTTCTTTGCTTTTCTTCAGTCTTGTTTTCTACACATAAATTTGTGTAAAACACTGATTACTTTAAAATATTTTTGAATTTCATGTAAATGCTACATAATGTGTTTTTTCTCCACTTAGTTTACTGTTTTATTTTCATGGATTTTTTTCCCCCACCGTTCTATCCATGTAGGATTTTTTTCAAGTATAAGGATTTCCAGAGGCAAACACCCAGGATTCTGCTGTACACAAGTGTACACATTTGTCATCTTACTAGACCTTGTCAGATTTTTTTTTCTGTGTGGTTGTACTGTTTTATTTCCCTACCAATAGCATATTAGAAGTTCTGTTGTTTTCCTGTCAGTAGAACGCTTCTGTAGAAGATAATCATAAAACTAATAATAAGATATTATCTAGAGTATCTAGAGAACTCATATCTCTATAAAAAGAACTCAATTTGAAAATAAAAAATTGGTGGTTGGAGAGATAGTGCAGTGGTTAGAGCATTTGCTTTGCACACAGCCAACCTGGGTTAGATTCGTGGCATCCTAGATGGCTCCCCAAGCACCTCCTGCAATAATTCTTGAGTGCAGAACCAGTGGTAACCCCCTAGCACCCCTGAATGTGTCCCACAACTGTAGCACCGTAGCACTGTCCTCTCATTGTTCATTGATTCGCTTGAGTGGGCACCAGTAACATCTCACAACAAAGTGTGAGACTTGTTGTTACTGTTTTTGGCATATCGAATACATCACAGGGAGCTTGCCAGGCTTTGCTGTGTGGGCGAGATGCTCTCCGTAGCTTGCGGGGCTCTGTGAGAGGGGTGGAGGAATTGAACTCGGGTCGGCCATGTCAGGCGCTTGCAAGGCAAATGCCTTACCCACTGTGCTATCGCTCCAGCCCACTACACACACAAAGAAAACAAAAAAGTTTACTGACTTTATGAATAAGGAACTCAACAATAAATTTTAAAGTTAAAAAAATAAAGACTTTGAAAAGTTTTTAGTCGCATTTGTGCCCACACGACATCTTATTATCTCATTCTTGCTTTGACAACCTGGCAGGCTACCAAGTATAGCCTGCCCACGTGGCAGAGTCTGGCAAACTCCCCGTGGCGTACCCAATATGCCAAATACCAGTGATAGTGATGGGTTTCATTCTCCTAACCCTGAAAGAACCTTGAATGTGGCACATTTTATAATCTCAGGGCTAGGACGAAGGAGACATTACTGGTGCCTGCTCGAGGCAATTGGCGAACAACAGGATGATCTTGATGGTGATCATGATAATAATTAGAAAATATGTTTAGAATTTAAATGCTATTATTCTATAATGACTGCCATCTATACAACCTTGTATTATTAGTACTTTGTAGTAGTGGGGGGCCTCCCAAGGTACAAATGGGTCACTCTCAGCAGTGCTTGTCCAGTTGCATTGGACAGTTCAATGCAAGAACCAGAGAATTTAGGACTACTTGCGTGATATGATGCTGGGTAGCTTTACTAGCTTTAAAGCCCCTTAATTGTTCTCTGGAGCGATAGCACAGCGGTTAGGGCGTTCGCCTTACAAGCGGCCAACATGGCCGACCCGAGTTCGATTCCTCCGCCCCTCTCGGAGAGCCCGGCAAGCTACCGAGAGTATTCGATATGCCAGACACAGTAACAACAAAGTCTCCAATGGAGACGTTACTGGGCCCGCTCGAGCAAATCGACGATCAACGGGAGGGCCTTTACCTTTACCTTTTAATTGTTCTCTCTCACTGTATCCTTTTGCCTTATCACAGACATAACTGTTACCTTACAATTTGCTTTTATTATTTTTTATTTTATTTTATATTTTATATATTTATATTTTATATTTTATTATTTTCTGTTTTTTTAAAAAGTTTACACATTTGAATATCCATATAGTTTTTATCTCTGTGCTGCTCAACTTAATACTAGTATTATTTTATATACACTTATACTTCTTTATTTAGTTAATATATTGACAGCGTGAATATTAATGTCTAAGGCATACAATGTTATTGTACCATACCTACCAGCAAAGTGCCAATATAGGATCCTATACTTATGTCTCTTAAGTTTTTCCTTGTCTTTCTTTTCCCCAGACTGCAGCCCACCACTTTGGTAAACTTAATTCTGTTGAGTCTAAGAATTTGTTTCCAGCAGCCATTGTTCTCTTGCTTTGTTTCTTTATATTTTACATATAAGTGAGCTCCTGGGTATTTGTTTTTCTCTTGACTTACTCTGCTTAACATGACCCCCTCTAGTTGCATCAGACTAGAAAAATACAAGCTTTCATCTTGTAGCTGAGTATTATTCCATTATCACTGTCACTGTCCTCCTGTTGTTCACTGATTTGCTCGAGCGGGCCCAGTAACGTCTCCATTGGAGACTTTGTTGTTACTGTGTTTGGCATATCGAATACATCACGGGTAGCTTGCCAGGCTCTGCCGTGCGGGTGAGATACTCTTGGTAGCTTGCCGGGCTCTCCGAGAGGGTGGAGGAATCGAACTCGGGTTGGCCATGTTGGCTGCGTGCAAGGCAAACGCCATACCGCTGTGCTATCACTCCAGCCCTATTCCATTATATATATAAAATATATATTATATATCAAATATACATTATATATCTTTATATATAATATGTTTTAAAATATATATATAAATATATTTTCCCCCAGGATTTTTCCATCTATACATCTCTGATGTCAGTTTTTGTAAATAGTGCTTCAGTAAGTAGATAAGCATATATCTTTTTCAAATAATGTTTCTGTGTTCTTAGGAGTAGAATTTCTGGATCATATGGTAATTCTAATTTGAAATTTTTTAAAAATTTTATTGAATCACCATGAGATAGTTACAAGCTTTCATGTTTGGGTTACAGTCACACAATGATCAAACACTCAATGATCAAACACACAATGAATGTCCACCAGTGCACACTCCCCATCACCAATCTCCCCAGTATACCCCCCTTCCCCACCCTCCCTATGCTTTCATGGCAGACAGTATTCCCCATACTCTCTACTTGGCATTATGGTTTGCAATACAGACACTGAGAGGTCATCAGGTTTGGCACAT